TGCACCGAATGCATTCCCTACTAATTTCTAACAATTAGCCTTGTAATTATAATGATTTTTTTCGTTTCTCCTGTGCTTCTTTCTCTTTCTTTTAATCTGTTCCCCCAGATCCTATCGCAGTGGAAAAAAGTCATTGACCATACTTTTTACTTGAAAATAATTTTGAGACTGAATAATATTTCTCGACTTGAGTAAGGGGATGACTCAGCACCTGGCTTAGTGACTTACTGACTTACTAAGAGGCTCTCGACCCACGAAACTTTCTATGACGTATACATGTTACAAAATTTCAGTAATTCTTTTTTTTTATTTACTTGGCTGAAAGCAGTATCTACAGATAACATTGCCTGCAGTCAGGATTGCAAGAATATTAGCAATTTTGTGCACGAATCCGTGCATTTGCTGAATTAAGACCTTGGAAGATTTGGAGCTTTATCAAATAAAAACAGATAAAACTCAAATCTATTTTCCTCTTCATTGTTATGTGATTACATCATTGTAGAAGTTACTCCACTAACTGGAAATTATTCATGATATTCACCAGTGACAAATATGTTCGGTCATAAGCATACTATTTATCTTCATATAATGCTTCTCTGTATGAAGGACGAAAAATGTTTGAGAAAAATACATGATTCCTGTGGTTATGTGGCTGCTTACCGCGATTATGTCCTTATATCCTGGATTAGCAATCCTCATATATTCTTGAAGAAATATCGAATTTCATATACCTATTTTCTTTATTACAATGACTCTCAGTTTGATGTGTGTGTGAGTGTGTGTGTGTGTGTGTGTGTGTGTGTGTGTGTGTGTGTGTGTGTGTGTGTGTGTGTGTGTGTGTGTGTGTGTGTGTGTGCGCGCGCGCGTGTGCGTGTGCGTGTATGCATGTAATATGTATATATGTATATATATATATATATATATATATATATATATATATATATATATATATATATATTTATATATACATGTAAAAACATATGTATACATATTTATGCATACGTATAGTATATATATATGTATATGTATATATATATATATATATATATATATATATATATATATATATATATATATATATACATATATATAATATACATGTAAAAAACATATATATACGTATTTATGCATACGTATAGTGTACATATATATATATATATATATATATATATATATATATATATATATATATATATATATATAAACATATAGATACATATTTATGTATACATATATTATATATATAGCATATATATACATATATGTATATATGGACATATGTATACATATATATATATATATATATATATATATATATATATATATATATATATATATATTCATTTTTTATGTATATATGTATATATATATATATATATATATATATATATATATATTATATATATATATATATATATATATATATATGTATATATATATATATATATATATATATATATATATATATATATATATATATATATATATATTTATGTGTATATATATATGTATATGTATGGTCCTCTTTATACTATATATAGTTCCTTTCGTCTATTTTTTTTCCTGACCTTGTTATGTAAAATGGAAATGAGTTTTTACGCGTGCCAGGCGTGTGACCAGAACGCGGCCCGCTGAAGAGAGCTCCGCGGGTGGTTGGACTGCCTCCTTAAGGCTGAAGGCCAAGACGCGCTCGCTTCCTGCGGGATTCTTTGTGCCGGGGAGCAGAGTGTGGTCTCGATTTCATAATGGATACGCGAGGCTTCTGTAGACGAGTGGAAGGGGATTAGGGGGGCGCTGGGTTGAGTGTATTTCGTGTTCAGGAAGGACCGTTGTTCTAATATGGGATTTTCTCTCTCTCTCTCTCTCTCTCTCTCTCTCTCTCTCTCTCTCTCTCTCTCTCTCTCTCTCTCTCTCTCTCTCTCTCTCTCTCTCTCTCTCTCTCCCTGTCTCTCTCTTTCTCTCTCTCTCTCTCTCTCATTCTTATTCTCTCTCTCTCTCTCTTTTCTCTCTCTCTCTCTCAATAAATGCTTATTCAGACTTTGCAGACAGGTGTCTGCACTGCCCCTAGCAAGACCCGTTATTATTATTATTATTATTATTATTATTATTATTATTATTATTATAACTATTGTTGTAAAACACACACACGTTAAAGCGCAACTGGTGGAAAGGATAGTAAGGCGCTTGGAAAAGGCGTGCCAAGAGAGAGAAGCAAACGATAGACAGACAGACAGACGGAGACAGACAGAGAGAAAGAGACATTGCATCAGCATACGACATCAACCCAGCGATGTTTTATGGCCTCAGTGACTAATCATGCTATCGCATTTATGATAGCAAAGGAATGAAAACCAGAAAAAAAGAAAGGAAACAGACATATCTCCGATGTCTGGAACGAAGCGACATCGAAACGACCTCCTGGAAGCTGGGTCGTCTTATCTCCAGCCTCGGACACAACCTCGAGACGCTCTGACGCTGGGGTAGTTTTTCGACGTCTCGACGCACGAGCGGTAATCTAAGGGATCTTTATGGTGCAACAGACGTCTAGAGGCGCAGCTAGAGCTTCTAGGGTGGGCCTGGGCTGTGATGGGAAAGGGGTGGAGGCGCCGTCGAGCTTAGGAGTTGATAGGCGCCGAGGGAGGGAGGGAGAGAGGCAGGATCTCGGGCGAGGGCGCTCTGACAGGATCTGGGAGGGAAGGAAGGGGAAGGATGTTTTTCTCCAGGGATGGCAGGATTAGCGTCGTCTTGGCCCAGCTGACGAGGACGATGACGCTGGATAATGACAGAGCCGGCCGCTTTGGATAGGATTGCGTGATTGGACGGGATGCCTAATGGATGGCGACCCGAGAGTAGACACGGCGGCGAGACGGATTTTGCAACAGAATGTTTTGATGCGGAGGAAATGAGGTAGATAAGATGAAATTGAAATTGGTATGCGATTTTGGAAGTAAGTTTGGTGCTGTCATGGTTGTATTGCACTCAGATGGTTTAAAAGAATATATTTAAGTGCGATATGAATTAGAAATCCATACGCCAAGTTTTATCAAATATGAACAGCATAGAAAACTAATATAAATAGAAATATAGCCAGTGAAATACTGCTAACCTCTCTATATCCTTTTAACAATATCTTATGCTTTAACAACAGCAACAAAAACATTTTGTGTTTATTTGAGCTAAATGTTACGCCGAACCAAACTTTTTCTAATGACTTCCCGTCGTTAAACGTCGTTGGTTATGGCGAAGGCACTCGGGTCCAGTTACTTAAGGAAAATATAGAGTACCTGAACGATATTCCATTTAAAGAATCAGTTAATACATCGGGTTATTTCTTTTAATGTTTCCAAAGACGATCAGTTAGGATATTTATTAATGAATAGAGAGTTGGCGTATTTGATTATTAAGAAAGATAAAATAAATGCCACAGAATTTACTAATGAAAAAATGTAACATATTTAATCCATGGAGAAATAATGCACCGCCTGCATTTGCGCCATATTGTGGCCACCTGGAAGTGTTTTGATCGGTTGCAACAAAGATCACGATTGCAGACGGCCTTCATTGCAATACCGTGATGACAAGCAAAGAGTGAGTTAGTAGTTCAGATTGTTACCTTCTCTTTCTTATTCTTGTTGATGGTTGTGCATTTATTTATCTGATTTAGATTCGTTTCCATGGATGTTATTTTCCACCCTTTATTATATTTATTGCTTTACTAGCATTATTAGAATTATTGTTGCCGGTGATAATGATTCTCATGACGATACTAACTGATAATTGTGATAAAGATAATGATGATAGTGATTGAATATGGTGATGATGAAACAATGATAGAATTAATGATGGTGATGACAATAGTTGTTATTGTTATACTAAAACTAATGACAGAGATAATGATTATTAACATTAGCAGTATCTCACTACTGGTAATAATAAAAAAAGGAGTAAGAAAGAGAAAGAGAGCGGAGAGAGATACAAATAAAAGCCGAAACTCGGGTGATTGCCGAACCCATCCACCGCTCTGGGTCATTTTCCCGCGTGTAGTTTACCAGTCAGCAGTCCCTGTGTTGGGGACCGCGCCCTTTTCTTATCTCTGTGACAACGCTCGCCCCATCATAATCCTTGCTTTCCGCCCCTACGCCCGTCCGTCCGCCTCTCATTCTCTTCTGTTCTCTTGCTCTTTCTATGTCTCTTTCTCTTTCTCTTCTCATATTCTTTTCTTTCTTTCTTTCTTTCTCTCTTTCATTCATTTATTCATTCTCCTCTCTATCCTCGCCATCTCTCTCTCTCTCTTTCTTTTTCATTTTCATTCTCTCTCTCTCTCTCTCTCTTTCTCTCTCTCTCTCTTTCTCTCATTATCTATCTCTCTCCTCTCTTTTCCCTCTCTCCCCCACTCTTTCTCCCTCTCTCCTCCACCCATCCCTCCCTCCATCCATCCATCCATCCACCTACCCACCCACTCATCCTCTCTCTCTCTCTCTCTCTCTCTCTCTCTCTCTCTCTCTCTCTCTCTCTCTCTCTCTCTCTCTCTCTCTCTCTCTCTCTCTCTCTCTCTGTCTCTCTGTCTCTCTTTTTCACTATCCCTCTCTTCCTCCTAGCTGTGTATGTGTCTGGCGTCTGCCTGTGTAGTGTGAGTGTGCCTGCTCGGATGGGTGGGTGTGGGCGAATGCGTAGGAAGAAGTTTATTTGTTTGGGCTTGGCATGTGTAACAATTTTGTTCAGTATCTGTGCATGTACTCGCGCGCGTGTTCTAAAATGCTCATATGAGGTGACGCACGAGTAAATGTCCTCTTTGAGTAAAGAGGCGAAGACATCCGTCACGAAGAAGCATCTAGATTTCCCAAGATACAAACCAACGGCCACCTCCCCTCCCCCCTCCCTGCCAGCGACCCCCTGGGCTGAGCGCGCCCCGCACGGCGGTCGGGCTGGGAGGCGGCCTCACCTCTCACCTTGGTAGGACTCAGCAGGACTTAGCGGCAGATCCTGCCTCCACCTCTCGC